TCATTATGTCAATGTCAGGATAACTCTTGATAGGCCTGCTGTTTAGGAAGGGCTTACATAAGATGAGAAAACTTTCTCTGCTCCAAAGAATGAATCTCATGTGCCTTCACTCTGAACACACTCCTCCTTTATTTCCCTTGTGTGTTTACTTTCTATATCTCAACAACTACTGAAATTTGGTATTGAAGTTATTGTTCATCAGAGGATGGCTGTCATGATTTTACATTCCTTACCACAGAGGAAGGGGAAGATGTGAAAGTACAAGGAAAAGGAAGATTTGTCAGTCAAATGTATACATCAGGCCTCAAAATGACTGCTTATTCAACAGTGATGGCTCAAGTTTTGCTATGAAGCACTTTGCATTTTGGAAACTGCCCTCATCAGAAAAAAGTTTTCCTAAAGGCATAATTCGAGCGTCTCCAAACATCCCCTTCCAGTTGAGTAATAAACCTTCACAGCAGTATACAATGTGAGGATTTTTATCTACTCTTTCTGAGAGTATTCCAAATGTTTGTTTGAACTTTTTCACTGTGATCGTGATGATCTTTGCAATAGTGATGAAGACATCACTAGATAATTTACAGAATTCACTATAAACAACATTAAAGTGGAAAGCATGAATGCACGAGGGAGCTTTCACCCTGCTCCTCCTACTCCTCGTCCCCACTTCTCATCTTTCCACCATTGCATCTGCCTCCAAAGCCCCTGCAAGGTGTAGACAGCGGGCTCCCCTCTTCTTCACCGAAGCCTTTCATGAGTCCGCTGTGCACGGCCTTTTAAATCAGCCTTTTTACCAAGCTGATTTTACAAGGATGGTGCGGAGCCATTCGCTGGCTAGCTAGTCAGAGAGCATTTGTTCCAGTGAGCTTTCATGTAACATGCAACAAGGCATGAGGTGTAAAGACTGAGGAGGTAGACCTGTAGTGCGTGTCCGCCAGACAAGCCCGACAACAAGGCAAGAGAGCTGTGAAAAATTTAACCACCCGCTGTAGCACTGGTGGAGACAGAGAAAATTAGCCAACCACCAGTGGGAAAGATGGGAGCGAGACCTTGATTGAACTTGAGTGGTCTTTGTGTTAGATGAATTATGGAGACAGAGTAGTTTTTCCAAGACAACTGAGCAGGAGATAAAGGGCAAGTATCATGGGGTGAGGTTTTATCAAAGTTTTATTTGTGTATGCCGAAGCTCTCAAAATTCACTCTGAAACAGTTCTGCTGTTGCAAGCCGAGCGGGGCCCTTTGAGAGGGACAGACAGAACATTGCTTTAGGATAAATGTTTTGATCATGACTGGGATGCACATCAGGACTGCGTGCAGGAGACAGTTGTGTTTGACTGAGGGCATACAGTGCTAACAAAAAACAATGAAAAATCTTCTAATTTGCTATGTGAGGGGAAAAAACACTGAATCTCCCCAAAATCCTGATTACTTTTGTGAATATATGGCATGTGAAGCACTAAATGATGCAAAGGCTAAGACTTTTTGATCAGGAGTACAATCAAAGAGTACCCTGTAGTTAAAGTTTGATAGAGAGTACAACACTGGCCACTTCTCTCCAAATGCATTATATGCTGTGCAGATTTACTTCCTCCAAAGTCCTGCCCATGTTGTGGACCTGGGCCCTCACTTTGCCTCCTGCAAGTGATGGTCGCCAGTCCAGATTGTCATTCATGGCAGCAGATGATTAGCCTTTATTTATCTGTTTTACAACTTCGGTCTCATTTCTATAGTTTTGTCCACCATTTCTATGTCATGACAACACTGCACTGACTAACATCAACTGATAAATATATGAAGACCATAGGTGGAAATCATGGGGGGGACAGAGGTGACAGGGCGGTCATGTCCCCCCCACTAGTAGAGGGGTATCCCCTTAAAAACCATTAAATAATATCATGATATATAGTTACAACAATTGTGTAAATAGTAAAACAATACAAACGCAAAGAGGGCAATTAAAGTGCTTTTTAAGTTTAGCAACATTTTGAGTCCCCCCTCCCTTTCCTCACAGTGGTTTGGTCCATTGCCTGCTTTCCCCCTCACAGCAGTCCGGTGGCAGAAAACCAGTTCAAATCTGTTAGTAGTTGAGGAGCTCCAGTAATGTTAAGTAGGTTGGCAGGGCTGTTTTATGCACTTTAAACATTGGATGAACTGATTCTTGTCTTTAATACAGATGATGCTGAGTCCTTAATAAATTAAACATGAAAAAAAGTTATGATAACCGATTATTTTTCCATGAGCCCACTCTGTTATTAAAACATTACCTAGCTTATTTGGTAGCTTGTTTAACAGCTTATTGGACTGGAACTCTTCTTCTACAGCTAGAGATGCACAGATTGATCAGCTGGGGCCTGAAATAGGCCGTTTAATTTCGCATACTTGGCTCTGACTGGTGACCGGGGCCGAGCAGTGTCAAATATTCAATATGCGCCATGTTTCGTGTGTGCGCAGACAGTAACCTCATGTCATAGTCACACACACACACAGGTTAAAACATGTCTTAGGTGTGTGGAAGTTATTCACAAGAGTGAATGAATGAATGAATGACAATTATCAACAAGCCTCCTCCACACACAAAAATGTTTGTGTATGCTGTCAGTTATAGATCTCAGAAAGAAATAAAATCGGAATCGGCCAAAATTAGAATCAGTAGATCAGACCTTTTAAAAAATCAGTAAGTGGAATCAGCCAGGAAAAATGTGATCTGTGCATCTCTTACTACAGCGATAATCCTGTGTGTGAACTGATATTAAGCTGATAACGTAGATCTACCGTTGTGTTGGGTTTTGAGCATTATGATGTTAAGTGGCAGAGCAGTTGGCCTGCTGCCGTTGAGATTGTCCATACTTCACCGAGGCTTCAGAGCGTTGTGTGGTGAGGGCCAGGCAGAGCGGGGGATTGAAAATCTGCTGGCCGGCTGAGAGCTGCTAAACTTGGGAGAGAGGAGCAGGGAGCAGCGCTGCAACCATTGGACAAATAAACAACCATATTCAGTCGGATTCTGCTCTGACAACTACGCCATTTACTTGCGGGAGGAGCTCGGAGTTAACGGCTTTTATTAAATTAGTTTTTTACTTTAGTTTTTGGGATTTCAACGTTGATTTACCTTCACTGGAGCTTCTCAGCAGCTAGGTTCCATGCACATCCGGTTCCAGTGGCGTTAGCGTCGTTAGCTCTGTCGGACTACGACTTGATATTTATATAAAAACCGGACAAAACTTGACATTACTTGTAGAAAACAAAGCGAGGAGCTTGAACTACCTGGTGAGTTCAGAAAACATGTGTCTGTAACTTTATTCCAGCTATCATTGTACTTTACCGCGACCAAGTTAGCATAGAATGGCCCTGCTCGATCCAAACTCCATTCAGAAAACAAACATTTTAGAAGTTGTTGTCCTGCTGTCTTGCTGACAGACCTGACAAAGTATGAATTCATATGTTTAACAAATCTGCATCATATTGTAGTTATTTCAGCATCAGTTTAATCTGTTTATTGCCATTTAATCACAGCAAAATGTTTACTTTGGGTTCATACAGTTGTAGTAAAGGCGAGTTGTGTTTATTCACCATATCGCGTTAAAATCGCCTTCTCACGTTGTGTGTGAACACTTGCAACGAATGCACTCACGCGAGGAAAGCGTCGCGAGGGGAAAAATCACGGTTGGTCTGAATGCAGCTTTAAGCAATGCAGACAATGGTTGCCAAAATTATGAAAATAAAACCCAAGTTGTAATGAACCTGAAATATGCTTTTATTTTTCTGTCCAAAAGTACTAATGCATAGTTATATTTTTGATTTGGGCACACATCTGTGCTTCTCTCTTTTCATTCCACTTCTTTATATTGGATTAATGTTGTTTTGTTGTTGTTTAATGACTTCACTTTACTTTCACATTACCTTAATGTTGCCTATCTTTTTCTTCAGTGTGTTGTAGCAGTGACAAAAAAAACATGATTTATTTCCCCTATAATGCCACCATAGCTCAGAGTGAAAGGGTCTTAGTGAGCATTGCTAATTTACCATGCTAATTCCACACCCTTCCTGAGTACAGTGAGGAAATTAGCAAAGCAAATTTACTATTCAAACATTATGCCCTATCAGTGTATAAAGCTGATCCGGACTCGGGTCTGGACTTGTTCAGTTTTCAATAATGTCATGGCTCACGAAAGGATTATTGTTCTGCTGCAATAGTTTAGAGATGAATGCAGCGGCATATTTAATTGAATTAGTTAAACTGACTGACTCTGAAGTCCTCACAATACTGGCCAACAGCAGCATTTTCTGACATGTACAGTAAATGAGGTGAACACTGTGAGTCAAGGCTTGCTAGTTCTGCTCCTGCAGACTTGCTTGTCTCAGTGTGTGTGTGTCCCAGTGAATACAGTTAAAAGAATTTTGGACTCATGAGGTACTCAAGTCCCCATCAAGCCAATCTACTATTGGCTGATGATTTGTGAACAATATTTGAGAGAAATAGGCCTTTTTTGTACATAGAGAAAGTCTTAGATCTTTGAGTTCAGCTCATGATGAATGGGGGCAAAAACAAAAGTGATACGCTTGTGATTTTGTTCAGTGTATATATTCTAGTATGATTTGGCATTGACTTTAAGGGAAGCAACCTTGAAGTTGATAAGAATCTTGCCTAACATCCAAAGAGTTTGTATTTTCATTATTATTTATGTGACAAATTTGCTGAGCAGCTCTGTGACTGAAAGTCAAAGGTGATTATTCCAGTATGATGGTCAATGGCCAGGGCTGGACATAACCAAAGTGTGTGTGGCAGTGCTTGAAGTGGAAAAAACATAAGTGCCAGTACAACGTTCCGGCCCACATCAAGCACTGATGTGTGGGCTGGAGAACCAAGACAATGACCTAAAAGAAGCTAAAAGCTTGGGCGATAACACACGGTTACTGTATATACATTTAGAGAAAGTCCAGGTTCTCTGATGATTAAATAGCTATCATTCCCTGCATGACTGGGCACTAGGACTGCCACTCACCATGATGGACCACACCCTTTAGGCCGTGGATTATGGGGTCAACAGCAGGATTGTCCTTCCCTCCCACCTGAGGAATACAAACAGATACAGGGATCAACACAGCGCATTGTTATTTAGAAAAAACATCACTGCATTATCTTTTAATGTATTTGTATATTGCTTATCTATCCTCGCAGCCACAAACTGTATAGGCATTTGTAGATTGTTTTTCTCAAAGTATGAATTTCATTATAAGGTAAATCATCATAAACAGTGTATCATTTACCTTTATCCATTTTTGTATGTTAATACCACCTATTGCATAGTGTACACTCTGCTGCTGCAGTGACTCAGTCTCTTGCAGGCAGTTTACATAATACACACATCAATGTGTAGGTATCTTCTAACTTTTTCACTGGCAGGCAAGTATTCTATGCCTGCCACTCAGAGTGTTATCAGCAGAAATATTATTATGGATGTGCTAAATGAAGGAATAACATTCAGCTCATTTAGGCATCATTTAATGTACACAAAAACATTACATGCAATTTTGCATGCATAAAGAACAGAGGTCTTTCAGTACTTGACAACCATGTATTCTAAAGGTACCAAGCGACGACATGAAACACTAAAATACAAGTTCACTGCACAGCAGGGATGTCACTAGGATTGAAACACAGGGGGGGCTTAGCCACCAGTGTATGTGTAACTTGCACTTGCAAAATCTTTTGTTATTGTATTAGAACACTTATATCAACGACCAGTAAAGAAGCCAAAATGTTAACATGTAAAAAGCAACATATTCTCTTCTCCCATTTCTCCTCTGTTTAACAAAAAGTTACTGTAATGTTAGCTTTTAGACACATCAAAGCTGCATGGGGGGAATTCACTTAGGTCAGACTGTGTTCCTGCTGAGTTCTTCTGTGGGCTAAGACTTAAATGCTAACCAGCTGCTCATTTAAATGTGTGATAAAGTAATACCATATCTAACTCCTCTATTAGATAGGTTGCAGGTCCAAAATATGCTATTTAATTATACTTTTTACCGTTACTGCACTGTAGATTCTCTGCAGTTTGGCTTACATATAAGCATAAACTAAATACTTTATCATGTACACTATTGAAAAGGATCCTATTTAAAATGGCTACTGTCTGAATTTAATAACCTGATGTCGGAAGGAATAAAAGGTTTGGAGTAACAATTACTGTATGCATATATGTATGATTGCTTTTAAATTTTTATATTTTATGTGTATATCTGTGGGCATATGCTCATGTATAGCTTAGCCTACATGTAGGCAACATCTACATATTTATTTAATGTATGACAGCCAAACACAAAGTTAAGTTGGTCAGAATATAGCTAATATAATAAATGAAAAAAAATTGTTTTAGGTTATGCCTTGGTGCCTAGACCAACTAATGCCTATTGTTAGAAGAAAACAACCAAGACAATTATTTTAAGTATTTATCAAAATTCTTCCTTTTCTTTGTTGAGTACATGCCTTTACTGTAAAAAAATAAATCTATACCTAATAATTATTTTTCTTATTATAATTTGAGGGGGATTAGGACCATGTTAGGGTAGCTTCAGCCCCCTTAAAATAGGCCTAACGACGTCCACGCTGCACATACGTTCCTATACGTTCATTTATTTGTGGCGGCCCATCACAATACCAACTCTGACAGCCACATATTGATTTAAATTTTTTTTACTAGGCCTATTTAAAAAAGTATTTAATTGCAGAGCGGCGTAGTGCATTTGCGCTGCACGTCCTCTAGCTCGTCGCCCTCTCTCTCTCTCTCGTTCACCCGTCCCTCTCTCTCTTGCTATCTCGGTCTCTCTCCCTCTTCCTCTTGAACACAGCTGCACAAATTTGTCCAACACAACACTGTCAATGTAGGAGACCAAGCTTAAAGGAGACCTATTATGCTTTCCCACATTTTATGACTTATGTTATAATGTTGGATGTTCATGTTAAACAAGGCCAAAGTTTCAAAAAATTAGGTTAAAGCATTTATAAGAAATCACTGTGAGCAAAAACCTCAGGTTTCCTCCTGCTTTGAACTTTTTTTTCCACCTGCGGCTCAGTTCTACCTAACACCGAGCCAGACGGAGCTGCTGTTCCATATATGGTCATGTGCTCCCACACTAACGGCACAGCAACGCTCAGTCTGCCTGTTTCGCCCAGCAACAACAGCCTGGTATGCTTCAGCTCTTGGCCAATGAGAAGACAGTTGGCTTTGAAAGGAGGGGCCTTAAAGAGACAGGAGCATCTACAGCTTGTTCAAACAGAGGCTGAAATGAAGGCCTACATGTAGAATAAGTATAAGAAAAAAACATGCAAAGCTGCCATACAGGAGTCACAGACCTACAATATAAGACTGGAAAAGCTGTATGATAGGGCTCCTTTAAAAAAAGTTATTAGCAAGCATGTAAGGAGCCTAGCTAATAAGGAGAGCTAAGTTAATGTTATAACTGTTAATGTATACAGCTGGGGGTTTGGGTTCTTATCTCAGATCAAATCTCCACAAGAATCCACTTTCGACAGACTGTGCCTCTTCAACTGGTAAGTTTGGTTTGAAACGCCACCATACAGTAGATATTTCCTGAGTTGACTGGTAGGTGTGTGACGCCATATTTAGGGATCCAAGCAGGGAAGCCTTCTTTCTTTCTTTTCTTGGATAAACGTTTTTGTGCAGCAAAAACAGCCAGACAAAAACTTCAACGTCAAAGTTCTTTCAACCTTTTAATATCTGGATTCATTTGCATCCTTGCTCTAATGGTCTTCTGCTCTAAAATGTCAAATTATGCAACTTTCTATCACTTTTCTCAAAAGTGTATTTTTGCGAACTTGTAAAACAACGTTTTAATCAACCCAAAACTTTGGCAGGATCCTCTACGGACTTTGCTGATTGATCTAAAGTTATCAAAAGAATTTTGATATGTCAATCTGTTTTTTTTAAAATACATTTTTGCTTTTGTGTATTTACGTGCAATTTTACAAGTTTTTTTTCGAGAATTTTATCACCAACATTTTGACTGTTCAAAGTGTTTTAAGTTTAAACTAACAACAATAAAATTTCAGTCTAAGAGAAGTGACTTTATTGCCTCAACTTGTGAGAAGGTTAAGAGTAACCTACACTTGGGATCCAATCAATTTCCAAGAATGGGTATGTTATGTAAGTTTTCCTTTTCTACTTGGATCCTTTGAAAATTTCTTCAGTATGTGTTTTAATTCACCTTCAGGAGAAAAAGAGAAAACTTGGTGCTAAATCAAGAGAAGGAATAGGACAATAAATGTGAGTTGAGAACATAGAGGAGATGCTAAAAACAAGTGCAGTGTAATTAGGAAGAACAAACAGCAGCAATCAACAGCCTCTCAAAGGCCCTCTCCATCTGAACTCAAAGACTGTGCAATGTTATAGTAACAGTTTTACTGTCTTCAATTAGAGCGTCATTGCTGTCATGGAGGCTGACAATCATTGAAACCAAAGCATAAAAACAATACCTAAACAGCAAAATACATGACCTATACGAGTGTTTTCTGATCTGCCACCTCTATAGTTAAGTGTAAGAAAAACTGTTTTGTTTCTTAGGTATAAGGAAATGTTACTCTGATTCAAGTCGCAATGTTCATTCTGTAGATCTGTCAGACTAATAAAGGTGGACCTGTTTTGTGGACACACGCCTGTTTTTACATGACAATATTTTGTATTCAAATGCATGTAAGAAACACCCACTTGTGCAAGGCCTTTACAAAAGCAGCTGGATCACTGTCATTAAGCACATTGTAGGATGACAAGTTAGAGGACTCAGCAGGGCACAGTATTCTGGTCAGCTTGCTTTTCACATATTAAACACAAAAGAACAAAACGCATAACAAGTCTGTGTCACTGTTTCCTGTAGAAAAGTGATTTTGTTTCTACATGTTCATCCATTTTCCAGTTTGTAAGTGGCTTCCACTGTCACTGTTCCACTGTATATATTTCACAGGAATCTATTTTCTACTGAGGGTTAGAACAAATCCTTTCACCTTCTTCCATTCACCTCCATTATACTTGGGGAATTTTGTGTGAAATTACCTTTTAAAGTACTCTCTATTTTAAAGGACAATTCTGGATGTAAAATTAGCACTGATGGTAAATGCAGTCCATTGAAGCAATAAATTCCTCAGTGTGTGCTATATTGACAGAGAAAGCTGAGTTCGCCAATTAGTTCTTCATGCATCCAGCACGGTCATTTCACATGACAGTAATATCACCAGGATTTTCTGGATGCCACTATCTTCGCTTGCATTGCAGACTGACTATGTTTCCAACAGCAAAAATGGCATCCCATATTGACGAGAATACATTTTAGTGTTTTGGCCGTCTTCCTGGAGCCATAGAAGACCAGCAGCAGAGACAGGTCTAGGCTGCCACTGCTGTTGCTGCCATGCAAGAGGATGTGGCCGGCAGAGACCCTCCAGAACCAGTATGGTGCAATATATTTTAGTTTGAGCAGTATTTGTTGGATGGTATTGCAGACGCCAACCCAGAGAGAGCCAGAGTGTGCGTTAGTATGAGTGAATGTTTTAATCCTCACTTGGACAGAGTTGTGCTGGAGTCTGAAGATAAACTGGAAAAGACAACCAAGACCAGCAGGGCTGAAAGGGCAGACTCTATACATTAGACAATGTAACTTACACTGTACAATTACAGCTAAACTGTTGGTGGCTCACCCCATTAAACTATCTGTTTGGAATTCTGATTAATAAAATTCACAAGGATACTGTGTGTGTGTGTGTGTGTCGGGTATGGAGGACGGATCCTGACACAATCGACAATGAATACAGAAATTAAAAAATGCTCAACAAATGCCCATTACATGCACCAAAATACATTAAACATACTAAATGTAGGCATTAAATAAATTATAAAATGAGATATAGATTAATACATACCTTTTAAGTTCCTTTTTTTTTAAATCCACCTTTGTATTAATTACTTTAATTAATTTGTTAATTACTTATCATTCTAAACCATGCAATTAAGCAGACAAAATTTATAATAAATCCCTAAAGAATGGTTGGCCTTCTGAAGGTG